AATCTTCATTTTCAAGAGGTTCAACCGATTTGAGAAGCGCCACAGCAACCTCGCCGTGCACTGCTCGCCGGCATTTGAGCCCAAGGAGCTAGGGCCTAGGGGCCCCCCAAAGGGTTTAGGGTTTAGGGGTTTAAGGATTTAGGGTTTAGTGTTTAGAGAATACGCACTTGACGAAAGGATGTCCTTACCCTATTGGTTTCAGTTTGGAAGGATTTATATGGGGGGCCCAAGGAGCGGGGACGGCTTCCGGGGTCGGGCTTTTCTAGGGCTCTCCAAAAGGTTTTCGGGTTTAGGTTGCAGAAGGGCTTCAGATTTAGGTAGGGGTCTAGGGTGAAAGGGTTTAGCCCTAACTAATGTATTTTACGGGCTTCTCATAAACGGCCTAGCAAGTCCCCTGACGTTGCGAGCAGGATTTGTTTTCTATACGACTAGGAACATCGCTCTCTGATGCCCTTAAAGCAATACACTGAAAGAATGCCATCAATAATCACCTTTGGCCCATGAGCCAATGCTTTAGAACTTGTCGTGCTGAGCTTTTGTGGCACTCCTGAAGCCAAACAAACTGCAAGATCGTTCTGGACGTTGTGGAGGGTTTGCTTCGAACAAGCATAGTTTGGGCCCATGCCGCTCTCGAGAATCAGTACTACCCTGGCATGGTATACCCAAGCCGACCGGGGTACCCGAATCGAGAGGGTTTTTTTTAGGCTTCGGCCCAAAGCGGCAACGTGGATTTGGGTTTCTTGTTCCCCAGGAGGGTGACATCGTCACAGCGGGCCAGTGCCGCCCACTGGCGAAGACTGTCCGCTTCAACGTCGTGAAGGTTGACTCTTGCCTGTGCCTTTACGAAGCAAACCAAGGCCCTCCATTATTTGCGACCATGTACCCCACTTTGAGCGTGCAAGGAGGGTCCTGGAAGCCTTCAGGGATGCAGCTGCCCCGCTTACATCGCCACTCTGATTCTCGCGCCTCTGACCCTGACGGCGCTCGAACCAAAAAATGAGATCCGAACCTACAACCTAAAACCCTACAGCCCAAATCACCCTGAAGATTTGAGAACCTAAACCCCAAACCCCAAACCCCAAATCCTAAACCCAAAACCCTAAGCTGTAAGGACAAGAACCAGATCTTCGGCTCGGCGCGGAAGCAGTTTGCTCTCTTCTAAACCGACTCGGACAGAGGGCGGTGGAGCGGCCAGCAAAAAGGGTTTAGGGTTTAGGGATTAGAAAGTGCTCCAACTCCGGGCGAAGTGGAAAGCCTGTTGCAAAAGGGATTAGAAAGTTGGTCTCTGCTTTTTTTTTTTTCCTGGGTTCTGGCTTGGGTTTTTAGAGTTCAATCAGGTTTGAAGTTCGGGATTTAGGGCTTTGGGATTTAGGGTTCAGGCTTTTAAAGTTTGGGATTTTGGGGTTTACGCTTGCAGGGTTTCGGGATTGAGGGTAATTATAGGATTTAGGCGGTTTCGGGCTTACGGGTTTGGGCTTTCTGGCTGGGCCAAGAGTTCGGGTGCGGGAAAGAATGGTCCTGGCATTGCCCTCATCGTCAAAAGTTAAAGGGAACTTTGAAGAAGAAGGGGTCTCACAACGATCTTAAATAGTAGAGTTGCGCTATGGAGCCCTAACGTGGGACCCCGAAGTGGTCAGATATCCCGCAGGGCTGTACCTTACTATATGTCATGGATACTTTGCGAAAGCTTAGCTAACCAAAGCTGCTACGGCTTGGGGCCCATCAAATCCTGTAAACCCTAAACCCAAGACCCTATAAGCCCTAAACCGTTGCTGTTAGGGCTCTGGTCCGGAAGTAAACTCCCGGAGGTTTCAGGGTTCAGGGCCGAAGTTTCACGCTTTTAGAGTCTCAGGGTTTAAGGGTTTAGGGTTAAGGGATTATGGTTTAGGGTGCGATGTGCTGCGAGGGACTTGGCCGGGCGAGATGAGTTCAAGCCTGTGGAAAAAAAGGGATTAGGGTTTCGGGTTAAGGGCTTAGGGGGTTAAGGCTACATTGGCTACATCAATAGCTTCGAAACTTTGAGAGTATGGGGACAGTATGCCATGTTCTGCCACATGGTTTGAGGCCCCAATGCCTCGCAATCTCAAGGTTTCATACCGCCATCCGGCTCCCTTACAACCTGGAGTCCTCCAAGTAGTGGTCTGGGATACAGTGATACGCTGTACCGCAATCACGCCGGGCTTTATCGAGACTCAATTCTGACTACTCCGGTGCCCCTGTCATATAATCGCGATGGCTACTTCTTGCGGCCCAATCCTGGGTGCATCACAACCCGCCTTGTGTGTCATGGGAGCGCCAGAGCTGTTTAGACTGTCCGAAACTCAGAGACTCCAGAGACTCTGAGTTGACAATCCTGAGCTTAAGTTGGAAACCTAAGGCCTTAAGGAGTATTCCCTGAACAAGGAGTCGATGAAATCCTTTATAAAACTTCAAAGGCCACACAATATTCTATGTATGCTTTGAGGAGTATTTCTTACAGCCTACCTAAACCCAGAGCTTGCATTTCAATGTATTCCTCACTTAGACTAGCACCCCTACGGATTCCTTCAGAGAGCCGGTAAGCGGAGCGTTGAAAGAACGCCGTTCTAATTTCTCCTTAGTTAAAGGTTTAGGGTTTGGGGTTTAGGGTTTAGGGAATTTCTCCTTGATTTAGGGGGTCGGAGCGCCTTGGAAGGTTAGAAGCCCCTGCTGCTCATACCTGTACTTCATAGCAAGCGGAGACTTTGTGGGTATCGGAAGGGCTCGATAAGAAATAACGGTTTTAGAGTTTGAGGGTTTAGCACGAGGGGTTTTAGCAGGGATCAGGCACCGAGAATAGGGGAATCCCGAGCGAAACTGTTCGACCTCTAATTCTCTCCAGTTGGCTCAGCCGGTGCTGCAGCAAGCGCGGAAAGAAGCGTGTTGTTGGGGTTTGGGACGTTAAGGACTTATATAGATGGATTTAAAATTTAGGCAGGTGCTGCTTCCGCTATGATGAGATTGGATACGAGTTTACGTGTTATACCACATTTTCGATCCTTGTCCAGCTTCTGGGGGCGCTTGTGTGGTCAGGTACTAGAAGAGTGTTGGGCGTTTGAGGTCGTTCTGCAGCATGTCCATCACAGTCGATGTGCATCTGATCAGTGGGAAAAGCGTTTCCTTGGAGACGGAAGTTGATGTGTGTCTCGACGATTTGAAGCAACGTGCCCAGCATGCTTTGGGAGTTGGCAAAGGCAGGCTTCTGACTGCATCTGGGCTAGCACTGGATGACCCGGTGACTGTCAAAAAGGCGCGGCTCCAGGACCGTGACGTACTGACTCTGCATGTCGGACACGTTCGAGTCGCAGCTCCCAGAATGTTAACGAACGGACTACCCGCGTTCGCTGCCATCTTGGGCGATGGAGCGGTAGTGACCTGGGGTGCCAGAAGTTTTGTTGGCGACGTTAATGCCGTGCGCGATTCGCTGCAAAATGTTCAGTATATCCTGTGTGCTGCGCTCGCGTTTGCTGCGATACGTGCTGATGGTTGTGTTGTGACATGGGGTCATGATAGTTTTGGTGGCGACAGCAGTTCTGTACAGGATCGGCTGCAGAACGTGCAGTACATACAGACTTGTGGCAGAGCTTTTGCGGCAATCAGGGCTGATGGTATTGTCGTGACATGGGGCGATGCTAATTCTGGCGGTGACAGCAGTTCTGTACAGGATCGGCTGCATAATGTGCAGCATGTCCAAGCTTCTCAGCATGCCTTTGCTGCGATCCGAGCTGACGGCTCTGTGGTTACTTGGGGCGATGCCCGTTGTGGTGGCAACAGCGCTGCGGTGCAAGCTCGGCTCCAACATGTGCAGCATGTCCAATCCACTGCTGCAGCTTTTGCTGCACTTCGGGCAGATGGTGCTGTTGTTACCTGGGGCAATGCTGGGTCTGGTGCCGACAGCAGCGACATGGGGAGTCAGCTGCACAGCATCCAACACATCCAATCATCTCAGCGTGCTTTTGCCGCTATCCGTGCTGATGGTTCTGTTGTGACCTGGGGCGATGCTCAATATGGTGGCGACAGCCGTGCGGTGCAAGATCGGCTGCAGAACGTGCAGTGCATCCAAGCTTCTGAGTCAGCTTTTGCTGCTCTCCGGGCCGATGGTTCTGTTGTCACCTGGGGCTATGCCCGTCATGGTGGCGACAGTCGTCGTGTACATGATCTGCTCCAGAATGTGCGGCATATTCAAGCTTCTGCCGCAGCTTTCGCTGCCATCCGATCTGACGGTTCTGTTGTGACCTGGGGTGATGCTCGCCGGGGTGGGGACTGTCAAGCTGTCCCGAATGCTGCAGGCCAGGGCGACAGCGCCAGGAGAGATCGGCCGCAGAACGTGATCCGGGTCCAAGCTTCTTCTGCAGCCTTTGCTGCAATCAGGGCTGATGGTTCGGTCATGACCTGGGGCGATGGTCGTTATGGCGGCAACAGCAAAGACGTGCAACATCTGCTCCAGAACGTGCAGCATATTCAAGCTTCCGCCGCAGCTTTCGCTGCCATCCGGTCTGACGGTTCTGTTGTGACCTGGGGTGATGCTTGCTCTGGTGGCGACAGCAGTGCTGTTGAAGATCAGTTGGGCACCATGTACACCACTACGCCATGCTCAAAAGTCTCAATTGTTTTTGGGAATTTCCATGTTTGGGTTGTACTTCGTTCAGAGGAATCATCCCGAAACCATGTATTGCCGTAGCCTGCGTCTTTTACGATCTACGTATTCGTGGCTGCTACCCTAAATGAGCACCGGAGAACATTTCTTAGTTTTGAGTCTTCTACACCCTGCTTCACTTGTGGCCTAGTGGCTGGCCTGGTGCTGCATTGGGCATGTCCAAGGACATATCCTGACTGGCATGCCAGCTTGGGTGCATGCCGAGCTTGCAGAAGTATCCAGCAGTTTGTGGACCCTGAACCCTAACAACCCTCAAGCACCTCCCTGGATTTCTTGCAGCATTCGTGTCTCAAGCGCCTCCGGTGGCTGCCAATTTGCACAAAAGATGCCGATTGACTTGTGCAAGACGCCATGGAACGTCCAGAAGATCTGCGGCTCGGCAGCCTAGTGCTCTCCCCCATGGCCTCAGGGCTCAAAGGTTTAGGGTTTAGGCTTTGAAGTTTACGGAATACCAACCCTAACCCCAGCTATTCAAGGACAGAGAACCCGAGCCCGAGTAGAGGCAGGGGTTTAGGGGGCAAGGCCAAACTTGGAACCGGAAAACCGCTGCCAGAATCTCAGGAACCTTGCCAGCCAAGAGGCAAAGAGGCACATGTCTCTTGAAACCCGGCTAAACCCAAAGCCCTAAACCCTAAGCCCTAAACCCTAAGCCCTAAGCCCTAAGCCCTAAACATCCCTAAACCCTATCCTCCATTCCAACTCTCGAACCCTGAACATGGCACGACCGAAGCCTGAATCCCAAGGAAACCCGCCAGACAGTTCGCTAGAGGCTTTAGGGTTTTAGGTTTTTAGGTTTTAGGGTTTTAGGGTTTAGGGTGTTCGGGTTTAGGGTTTAGGGAGTTTGAACCATGTGCTTTACGGTTTAGTATTACTCGCAGTAAGGGAAAGCTACACCAAGCCGTGCTAAAATCCGTCGCAAACTTTATAAAGCCACTATAGAATCCGATAAACCCGACCCTGTGCAGACCATCCTTAATACGATGATACAGCTATTTAGACAACCCCCATGAAATCCAGGTGAGGAGGCCACCTTAAAGGAGCTCAATGCAGATCTCCGGCGGGCGATAACGCGCGGTGAGTCCGTGCCGAGGGAGTACAAGTTGCAGGCGGGGATAATATAGGGGCCTAAACAATTACCAATACTATTTTGGGGCTTCCTTATTATAAGTACAGCACAATGGGCCCCGAAGCCTTATTCTAATTATTAAGGCCCCTGTATTAAGGGTTTAGGGTTTAGGGTTTGGGAAGGGGCTTGGATGCTAGGGTTTGCCCTGTTTCGGGCTTATAAGAACAAGAGCTTCTGGGCTGCGTGGCAGAGAGAGAGGGCTTATGAGGGTTTATTGCACGGGCTATACAACAGTTCTGTAGAGCTTGGGGTTTAAGGTTTAGTGCATGCTGTACCTCTCCGATGTTCTTGTCGCTATGTTAAGTTATGATATACGTTGCCCATGAGCTGCACGAATTCTGTTCTCCCTCAGCCCTTGAAGCATCAAGTTTGCACATCCAGAACCCCTAAATCCTAAACCTTTACTTAGCCTAAGCCGGATTTGGCAAGGAAGGAAGCAGGAAATATTATATGTAGTATGTCATAAGATATCTTTCTGTGTTTTATTGCATATTATCACATTTTATAGAATGCTATATTGTGTTATAAAACTTCATTATATTATATCATAATATATTCTGACATACTATATTGTATTTTGGCATTGTATTCTAGCATAATCATTATGTTGTGTTAGAACCAAAGTCAGACAAGCAACCAGAGCCCAAGCCCTTGCAGGCGCCTGGGGAGGAGGCCCAGCAGATTCATTCTCTGACATCTGGGCGTTTGGGGTTCAGGGTTTCGGGTTTAAGGTTTAGGGGTTTAGGGTTTAGGGGTTTAGGGTTTAGGGTTTCGTGTTTAGGGTTTAGGGTTTGGGGCGAGGGTTGGAGGTTCGGGGTTGGGGTTCGAGGTTTGGTGTTGGAGGTTCGGGGTTGGGGTTCAGGATTTGGGAGAGGGGGGTTGTGGGGTCAGTGTAGGAGTTTCTGAGGACGGGTCTGGAGCTCAGTGTTTTGGGCGCCATGGATCTTCACGTCAAGGATGCCCCTAAACCTTAAACTCCCAAACCGGGAGCCTTTACCTTCTACAGAAACCCTAAACCGCTAAACCCTAAACCCTAAAGTCCTCATCTTTGAGCTGGCCCACGCCACCTTCGAAGCCCAAACCCCTGAGCCCGACAACGCTCAATCGAACAAATCCCAAAACCCAAAGGCATAAATAAATCCCAAAGCACCCAAAAGCTCTAAGACACCCAAGACCCAAAGCCCTAAAAACCTTAAACCCCAAAGCCCCAAAAACCCTGGGCCCGAAGCCTCGGAGACTCTAAAGCCCTAGGTGCAGCTTCAGGGCATGCGCCGCCACGAAGGGCTGAACGGACGTCAGGGCGAGGCACGAGCTCGGCGAGGAATGGTTGATGATATAAATCCTGCATTACCCAGGAATATACCATAATTCCCATAGTTAGGGGTCCTTAGGGTAATGGAGGATTTATATCATCAACCGTATGAGGGTTCTTTAGGCCTCAGGAACTTTAGAGTTCAAAAGCCTAGTAGTAGAGTAGGTAACCTTGAACCCTTTTTGGGGTACTATAGTCTGGATAAAGTCCCACTGTTCTCCCAAGGGTTAACCTTTAATTCCCCAGGATACTGGACCAGTAGGACAGGGTTTAGGGGTTCAAGGGTTTAGATCACATCTCGTAGAGGTCGAGGGTTCGGTTCGCAAGATTCCTGTCAGGGATGTAAAAAAGAGGGTTCGGCAAGGCCTAAGGCTATTGCAGGGGTTGTTGAGAGTGAGAGGCTGGACCCTAAACCCTAAACCCTAAACCCTATAAACCCAAAAAGCAAGCAACTCAACTGCATCACGCCGACCTGCACCGGCTGGACCCTCGCCGGGCCAGTCCGAGTTGTGAGAGCATAAACCCTTTCAGTTTCGGATTCGGCTCTTAGGGTTTAGGGTTCAGGGTTTAGGGTTTAATTAGGGTTTAGGTTTCAGATTTTCAACCATTTTTCTTTCTTTGGCACTGCAGCTCTTGCTGAACAAGGGTTTCTCTTGGGGTTTTAGGGGCTCTTCGCGTCTATTGTTGTAGGACCCAAACCAGGAAGTTCCGCGGTTTTGAATGGCCAACCAAGAGACCCTGATATAGATGAAGAGGATAGCTTTGATTAATCCGTAAAAGAAAGGTAGTAAGTTGGGGGCTTTGAGCATGTGGGTTCAGGGCGCAGCGGATAACTAGTCTGGGCCTTCAAAAAAGTCTAACATGAGATAACCCCAGGGCTCTGGCTTTAGCGTGCACTCCATCTCGCAGTCACAAGCTGGGGGTTTAGGGTGTTGCTGAGCGTTGAAGGTCTGTGCCCTAGTGTCTAATGATGCAGGGCTTAGGTTCAGGGTTTAGGGTCTAGCTGGATCCCACTCACCCGCTGTGGAAGACAGTTGAAGGGATCTTCCCATTGCTGAAGGCAGACCGAAAATCGTAAGCCCTAAATCCCTAACGCCCCTAAATCCTAAACCCGGAGCGGGCAGCTTGGGGGTTGAGGCATTTAGGGTTAGGGGTTCTCCGGTCTGGAGTTGCGGGCTTCGGGTTGGAAATTCCCTGCCCTTAGCTCCCTGACTAAAAGCCAGCAGCGTGGAATCTGTCCACCCCTTAGCCTGTAGTCTCTTCCGTGTTGTGGGTCTTATTTTACCTAGACACTCAGACCCACGATTCCGGTCGACCCTCGTTGTGGTATGGGGGCGAACTACAAGCAAGCCTCCCTGCACCCAGCACCCTAGAGCCACAAGCGTCACTAGCAGTTTGGAGGTCTTGAGCCGCATTGCGGATGATCAGGGATTCCTCCTGGTGCGCGTTCAGATGGAGGATGGGGCAGCAAAGAGCCTTCCTCGCAGAGGGCAAACTTGTGACGTCGGGGTGGCTACACCGTTCTTTCCGTCGTTGTTGTTGCTGCGTTGCTGATACTGTGGTATTTTCTAAGGGATGGGGGGCCTTGGTGTTCACTACAACAGCACATTCATGGTCGAATTTCATGATTCCATACGTTTCTATTGCTCTCAAGGAGTACGCCAGGAACAAGTGGGGGGCATCTTGCGCGTAGTTTCTGTTGCTTCCAAGCCCTACGCCCGTCTTTTGCCCGTCTAAACCCTAAACCCCTAAAGGCCCTCAACCCTCAACCCTGGTACTAAACCCTGAACCCCTCAACCAAAAAACCCCGAGAAACCTCAAAAGGCCCCTCTCAACCCTGAGCCTTCACTTAGAGGTTCTGGGGAATTATCAAGTAAGGAAGGTCGGGTTTAGGGTTTAGGGATTAGAAAGGAAGGTTCCATAAAGGGTTTAGGGCTGTAGGGTTCTACGATAAAAAGTTCTATGAGGGTTCCCTATAGAATGTTCGGATGTAGGGGACTTAGGAAGTAGGGTTCCTTTTCGGGTTCGAGAACGGTTTGTTTGAGGGTCCTTTGGGGTTCACCCGAAACGCAGCGCGGGAGCTTCAACCTTCTTCCATCCCGAATCTTCGAACTGGCCTTGGTGACGCCCAGAGACTCCCAAACCCTTTTGTTGAGGAATGTACCCTAATTCATGACAAGGATCCACATAGTGTCGGGGCCTTCATAACTAGAATAGGGTTTTGGGGGTATATTATGCTGTAATTGTAAGAAGCAGCCCCCAAAGTAGTGTAGGGCCAGGGGATTCGGGTTCGAAGCAGATGTAACTGTAGTGACGCTACCTACAACCCTACTTACTAAGTCCCCTGGACGGATCCTGTTTTGAACAGAGGGCCTGTCATTAGGGATGCCAGTTGTGATTTTTGTACAAGAGGGCATGGGTTGGTTGTGGCTCAGATGTCCCAGCTTGGCAGTTACATCCTTCGACCTTCGAGCTCGGAGTTTCAATTCTGTAGGATTTTTTGGGGCTGCGCGACTTCCTGGGACTCGATAGTTTTTTGGCCTTCCTATCTGCTTCAAGCTTTGGGAACTCTGCAAAGTCGGTGTGCTGTGAGATCCTCCTCCCCTCGTTTGGAACGTCAGTGCAGAGCCGAGGAACATGCGCGTGCAGCCGCGATGTCTGAAACCCCTCCGGCATCCGAAGGACGGTTCGAAACGACGTGTGAATCATTAGATTATGAATCTGCTTGAAGCCTTAAGCCCTAAACCCTACACTTCTTGTGTTTGGGTGTCATTGTCATGGGGCTGAAAGAGGTCCTTGCGAAGCCAAGAGTCTTACAGTTGGACAGCGACGCAGAGACATGCAGACGGGCAGACGGCTACCCAGCCAGCCTGGCTGACAGACAGGCTGGCAGACAGAGACAGAGACCGGAGACAGAGACGGAGGCAGACATACAGACAGATAGACAGACAAATACAAGACAAAGAACACACACACACATGTTTATGTGTCCGGTTATAGATGTTTCAGCTATATTTTGTATGTATCCGAGTGTCATGGCAACTCGATTTGACATAAATGTCTTTTTACGGCGTATGTATCTAGTCAGCCGGACAATTTGCACAAGTAGGTACCAATCACTTCATACTTCGCCGAGTGCATCTTTCCGTTTCTTCATCTAGAGAGGCAGGTACACTCGAACGGCCAATAAGTATGGTACGAGGGCGTTCATCGTAGCCCTAAGCCCTAAAGCCAAGACCCAAAACCCTAAAACCCTAAACCCTAAACCCTAAACCTAAGCCTTTAAACTTAACCGTATGGGCCAGGCACGAGAGACGAAGCCCTCTACCCCTGCGACGTTTTACGATATTCGGGAAGCGCAGTTGTAGTTAAGATTTGAGAATTTAGGCTTTGGGTTTCACCCTGAACCCTAAGCCCTACTCAAGCCTGTGCAAAAAAGGCATCTGGCAAGTCCACAAAAGTCATAGATCCTGTGCTCATACCTCAGATCCCTGGTCTTGGCTCATGGTTCAGATAATTTAGGGCTTAGGGTTTAGGGCAACCGCTTTGCTGCAAGCCCCTCATTGGACCAAGGAACAAGAACGCCAGGGCCCCTGCTAAGTAGCACCAAACCCCAATTCCCAAGCCCTACTTGGAGGATCATGGGACTTAGCAAGTAGGGTCTAAGTAGGGTTATGATAAATAAGGTAACTAGAGTTATATCTACTTTGTAACCCTAATGAGGGTACTTCTAACCCTACTTACGAACTCCCATGATCCTTTAAGTAAGCCCGTCAACCCTAAACTCGAATCCGTAGCCTCGCGAGACTTGTCGCAGTGAGCGATGCAGGATAAGCGGACGCGCGGGGCGCGCCTGGCGGGGTTCGTCGACCTGCAGCTGCTCTGCTGAAGCTGGTCTTAGCTGAAATACTACACTTTAAACTTGTTGGGAAAAGATGACCCCGGACTGAAAGTGGTGCTTATGAACTCAGCAACTAGGTTGTATGTAGGGCTTGGGCCTTTTTGGGTTTAGAGTTTGGGGTTTAGGGTTTAGGAAATTTAGGGTTTAGAGCTTCTAGGGTTTAGCGTTTGGGGTTTAGGGTTTAGTGTTTAGGGCTTTGGGCCTTTTGGGTTTCGAGTTTGGGGTTTGGGGTTTAGAGTTAAGGGTCTATAGGGTTAAGGGTTCAGGGTTTTTTGGGTTTAGCGTGTGGGGCCTCCTGGTTTCGAGTTGAGGGTTTGCGGGTTAGTGTTTCAATTCAGCTTGGCTTTAAGATTTCGGGAATCAGATCTTGGAGAGGGCTGTCAGGCTGTGTTGCTTCAGGGTTGTAGGGTCAGGAGTTTACAGCTGATTGTCAAGGATGTCGCGGTGAGGCGTCAAGAAAATGCAGGGTTCCATGGTGCTGTCGGGTCTCAGGTAGGCAACACAGGGGTTTTAGTTGAGTTGCGAAAGCAAGGATCTGGCCAGTCCCAAGCCCAGTTGTAAGAAAAAGGCGAAACCCCTTAAACCCTAAGCCTAACGCCTAAACCCCAAAACCGCGGAGACATGATGAACCGACCGTACCGACCGACCGACCGACCCACCTACCCACCTGCCGACCTACCCAGCTACCGACCTACCGACCTACCTACCGACCTACCAACCTGCCTCCCTCCCTACCTACCTACCT